ATGGTAGGATTTTGGTAATTGTGGTTCAATAATATCTAAAGGGCTACAGTTTCCCTACAGCATTTCTGAGTAGGATGGCTATTCTTTTACAGAGATGTAGTGGGAGGAAAAGATAGAAAAAACAAAAAGAGGACAGGAATAGGAAGATGGTGCAGAGGAAAGGCAAAATGGAGAGGACCAGAATTTATTTAAAAAATACAACATACAATGAAAGCAAGACATATTCTAAACTAAATGAAAGTTGTAATTCAGTAAGAATTTCTTCCAATTTGGCTATGACTTTGACACTTAGCAGCAATTTAAGGGGAGAATGCTGACATCTGGTGGCTATTTATTTTCACAGACTCCATTGAAGATGCATTTAAGATCACTTAAAATACACAAAACCTCAGAAAGGTCTTTTACATTTGTAATTTGCTGTAATTTTTCTAATAAGAATAAAACTGCATACTTTAGACAATTAAAACTGGCATATTGGTTTATTACAAATTGTTTATTATTGTTGTGGTATTTTTATTTTTAGAGAGAAGCATTCTTGAGATATTTTATCACTGCTGTCAATTTTATTTAGCTACATTCAGATATAATATGCTTGGTATATTCAGATATAATATGCTTGGTACAGCTACATTCAGATATATGCTTGGTACAGCTACATTCAGATATAATATGCTTGGTACAGGAAATGGGATTCTGGTTCCCCCTCAAATAGCAAAATGTTTTGGATTATCTTTATGGAAAGAATAGCATGTTTCTGCCATTTTAAAACCATAGTAGTAAAATGTCTAATGTGCACACACGTTCTTGTTACATGGGCCTTCCTTAACTTCACACCTGTTTGATAAACTGGACTATAATTTTCATAATTCCCAAACAATGTGGATCGAGATTGTGAGTTGTAAGTCAATAATGTGTAATGGGATTTATTGATGCCCTTTGAGGAGACTGCGAGGGGGGGGAGACCCTCTTGTAGCTCTGGCAGCTGCAGGAAGGTATCATGTGCTCAGCTGGCTCTGATTATGAGAAACAACCTTCAGAAAACATGTTGAGAAAATAGACGAGCATATTATGTGCCCTTGAAGTTAGTTTGGCACTGATTCAATAATGCAGCCTTCTCCTAACCTGATGTCCTCCATATGTTTTTGACCTAGTACATCTTGGAGGGTAGCAGGCTGGAAAATATGGCTGTAATACGGCAATTTTTAACTTGGATTTGTCTTGCGTCCCTGTAACAGGCAGATGAATCTTTCCTGGATCAGTTGATATCACAGCATTCTCTAACATGCTAATTATACCTTTCCAACTTCCCACAATGAGCTCCTCAATTAGCAAAAAGTTGTTAGTTTAAAAAACTTCTGTGGCATTTTTAAGTCCTTACAAACAGTATAGAGAAATAATAATATAGAATGTTAATAAGCTGTTTTCAAAATAATGTTAAAGTAGGAAGGACTGTTTAAAAGTCTAAATTAAAAAGATAAATCTTGATTCTTTTTTAAAGCAATGAGTAAAAAGTCCTTTCTGTGGGATTGAAAACTGAAACTGGCCAGCCAGAATATCTTCAAAAATTTCCTTTGGCAGACTTCAAAATATGGCCACAAGAAAGATGGTCCCTCAGATCAGTGTTTCTCAACACAGCAACTTTAAGATGCATAGGTGAATTGAAGTCCAATATTTAAAGTTTCTGAGGTTAAGAAACACTACCTCAGATCCCCAATTACTAAGCTGTTAGTATTTAAGCTTCCAGATACATACTGTAATGTAAATTATATTTGTTAATACTATATTCTTCAATATATTATATATTATTATAAGAGACTTATATGCAAAATAAACTATCTCTGGGGGGGGGGGGTGATATAGCATACTAAATATGGTTCCCTTAAATATAGTTTATGAAATCAAACACATTTTTCATAGTTGACACAATGTACTAAGCTATAATTCATAGCTAATAACCATAATGCAAACCATTGTGCCCTTTCTGTAAAACCAATCACTCAGTATCTTGTTACATTTCAACAGACCTGAAAGAAGCCAACAACTGCCACCTCAGCTCCATCAATGAAGGCTGCAGTACTTGGGATATCTTCCAGTAGCACAGGCTCCCTTTCCTCTCTGATAGTACCTGGAGGAAATAGAAGGAAAGTACTGTTTAGCCAGCATCTTTTTATGGTCCAATTTCTGCCCACTATCATAACAACCTGCTTTGAATATTCCTGTCAGCAAATCTTCACCTGGACAAATTGTTCTTTCACATATTTGAACACTGCCTGGGAATAACATAACCGATAGAAAAATGTCCTTTTCTGGTTTTGGTGCCAGCCTGCCTTGAAGCAAGAACTGTTGCAGCAGGGAGCATTCCTGGATGAGGTACCGGATGTTTAAAATTCCACTTCTCAAGTAAGGCCTTACTTTCAGATGGGGAAATCTGCTTGTTCCATCTGGTTTTTAAGGGACAGATGGAGCTGAGGGATGATTAACTGCATTTAGGCTTCAAGTCTTATCCATGACAAATATATTTCCTCTTAGTGTTTCTTTTATGCAATTGGAATTCTTCTTCTTTGTGAACTCTTTTTCCAATACAAGACCAAAGCATGAATTGCTTTACTATGATCGATGGTATTATTTCCGACCATGAAAACTGAGACTGCTGTTTGAGTGATTTCGTAATAAACAGGAATTTGGAATGAAACAAATAGCAGTTGGGTTTATGGTGATCCCACGTGATTATACCAATGAAGGGGACCAGTCTGTGCTGCAATCTTTTTTCAAGGTTTCCTAGGAAAATCATGCTTCTGATTTTCCCTGAGATTTTCTTAACTTTCTTGGGTATTGAGAATTGTGTTTTAGCTAGGAGTTGAGTGTGCTGCCTACTACAATAGCATTCCCACAGTACCCCTCAGATGGGTTACCCTTCCTTAATCCAAGCTAGTATAGCCATGCTTACTGCAGGTGGTGAAGGCAGGACTCTAGTACCTTTGAACAGCACCAGCTTCAGAAAGCTGATTTAGATGTTGCTCTTCTTGTCCACTGGTATGTTTCTTGGCCTATTCACTTTCCCCTTTTCTAAACTTGAGACAGGTTTTCTTACCTTCAGATGAAGAATTTTCCTCTCCAGATCCTAACAGGAACACACCACTGAAGAAAAGAAATGTATGCAAGAGGGAGTTTTCCATTGCTCTGACTTCTTTTCTCCTTGCCAGCTCATCTGTTTCTGGCAGGAAAAAACACCTTTGAAAACTGTCATTTAATCAGCTCCCAAAAGCTGTGGGAGTGAAACAGTTGGGAATGGCCACCTGTACCTTTTTTTTTCTTCTGATAAGAAACTAGTGGGGACATGAACTCCCAAATGTTTCCTCTCGTGTAATAAATCTTATTATTCCATTGTAAGATAAGCTCCATTTTCATAGCTTAGCAAATAAAAAGCAAAAACACTAGCATTCAGGTAAGTTAACATAAACAAAACTCTGCTGCTTATTTTTGTACAACCAGGAATCCTTGGCTAGCATTAAAACCGTTTTTTAAGAGTTCATTTAATTAAAAAATCACTATAGATTTTGAATTGAATAAATCTTCATATTGTCATGAATTCCAGCCCACTGACTGGTGCCTGGTGAGACACAGAGGAAAGAGAAAGGGAAAGAAACCTTCTCAAAGAAGCTTGCATAGGAAGAGATACCAGCATGTTGTCAAACATTATCTTTAGAACTTCATTATCTTTGAAACTAGATAGCACTACTTTAATTATAAGAATTAAATCACCAATTTCATTACAGACATATTTTCAATTGAAACAAATATTTTCAATTGGTTAAATATTGCAGTCCTATTTTCATAGATGTTATTTGTACTTGTTTGCTGGCCTTTACTAATATCACCCAGAAATCTTATGGACTGGAATTTAGAGAGTCTAAAAAATCTTTTTCCTAAAAATTTGTTTTGTGGCTGATTTATTTAACCTCTCTTATCTCATGCACATTTTGCCTTCACCATCTCCCATTGTTGTATTTTAGGTTTCTATGAAATGAGCAGTGCTTTCTCTTACAGAATCCCAGTAATTTCTGCCTAAGCGAACATTCTTCAAGTTGTTTGCTTATTCATTTTGTTCCTTAATTCTGTGATTCTGAATGTAGCCTTAAATCATCAACAAGTTCTTGTTTCACCCTACCTCTCAGGTTGCAACTGGGGGAGGGGGGGCACATGCATCCCCTTCCCTGATTTTGCAGGTCTCTCAGGCACAGCCAAGATCAAACTTCAAAATCCAGAGCAAACTGTTGATTTCTTGTGGCAAAATGGTTCATATTTTAAAGGAGAAAATGTTACACAGGTGCACTAGCCTCCTGCAAAGAAAACTCCCAGCCAAACATTTCAGCTCTACAGGTTCAGAGTTGTCACTGGCCATTTTAAAAAAGGTCCCCCCCCCCTCTCCGGCACCAAAATGTACTGCCTAAACCTATCTTAAATAAAAGAATAAAAAATAGACCCATATACCGATATAACCAACTTATTTCTCTGTACAATCTACTTCTCATAATACCCTGAGAGTGATCCTGGGGCAATACCCATTATGTTCTGTATAATCCTAATCACTAGAGATCTGCTTATTCCTTAAACTATTAAAATGAGGCAAGAAGACTAAAGTGCCTGGATCTGAGGGCAGGGGAGGTGTGTGGCAAGAATTGAAGTTTGATATCCCTTGTGTGTAAAGGGCAAAATAAATCTATGTATTGTGAGAAACACAAGAAGCTTACTCTGAAGCAAAGGACAAAATTGGCTTTATTTTCAAAGACACTGTTATCTTTACAGACCAGGTCAGGAATTGTATCTTATATTACTAGACAAGGCAACTCCATATGCAATTCTGGGAAACAGATTTAAACAAGACATTATCCGCTGACAGAACTTTTCATATAAGGCAGGGGGAAAGAGAAATTCCAAAGCCAACTCTCTTTCAATCAACCGATGTGCCATGATAGCAATTGGCTTAAGTTGGTGACTGTGTATCTTCTGACCAAAGGCACTTCAAGAACTGATCCTGTGCAACCAGAGAAATGCTTTGTCCCTGTTGGTTTTTGTGTGATTATTTTCAAGGTAGCAGGAGGAGAGACAGAGTCTCTCCAATAGCCTCTATTGGCTAAATTTGTTTTGACAATAAAAGGGTTGGGTTATGTGGAAGAAGCATGGCATGCATGTGCCAGAAACTGACACACTTGGAATAAGCACAAGCAGCAGAAGAAGCAAAAAAAGAAAACCAGGTAAAATTCACTCTGTCCATTCCTTTTTAATAGCCAAGTTCCATTCCCAGGTGAGATGGTTGTGCTTATCATCATCAGTGAAGAGAGACTTATTGCAGTAGTTTCCTCGGGCCACCAGGCCCTTTGGTGCTTCCTCAAGAGGTGTCATGAATTCATACTCTTCTGGCCGTGGCCCATAGCTGCCTACCATGAATACAGCCTTATCCACTAGGAAAAAACAAGCCATAGAAAATCAGTGTATCAGGAGGTAGGACAGAATAGGATAGAACACAAAACACAAATGATTTTAAAATGCAATGTAATAATGACTGCAGTTTTCCACCACCTGGATTGAATTCAGGTCATATCAGCCTTCGGTAGAGTTATCTGCAGCTGCTACTGCAACTCACACACAGAAACTATCCCAGAAAGGAATTTGGAACAAACTTTAATTAATTTATATTCTCTATATGATAGAGAATAACAACAATAGCATCCCCCAAACTCCAAAATGCAGTAAAAATGTCCCAAATCCTACAAGATTATTAAATGTTTCCATATTTCAGTGTTCTCACATAGATTTACAACCTCCTTCAAGTTCCCTAGTGATCAGATTGTTGTTTCTTCAGAAAGTCATTAAAACTTGACTGTTTCAAAGGGTCATGAGAATGGATGTGCTATGAATGGAGAACTTTCAGTTTTGATAATGTGTTTTCTGCTTGATTATTCCTTTGGGGTGAAGGTTTATTGAAACATTTTTTCTTTTTTGTGATTTCTTTTTTGTTGATACAATTTATTGTTTTAAATCTTATTATAAGCTCTGTAAGCCTCTTAACAGTTTTTTCTGACAGTTTTATATAGGGAGGGAGGGAGGGAGGGAGGGAGGAAGGAAGGAAGGAAGGAAGGAAGGACTTTGGGGCAATTAAAATTAGGATAGCTCAAGTTAGTTCAAGTTCTCTGATGTTATACATATAAGAGAATTTTCTCTCTGATGTCTAAGCATACCATACAAATGTCTATAGAAAGGGGGGTTTTCAGGCAATTAGCTATATGCCCAGTGTTTACCATGCAAATAGAAATATCAACAGAACAATTTCTGCTCCTATAGATAGTCTCTGTATTACAACTTAGAGGCAAAGGATTTTTGCAAGATTTGCACTGTACAAAAAGGGAAAGGATCACTTTATCTATAAAGTTTGAAGGTGAGCTATTCAGCACAACCACATCAAGGTGATTTTTGAAAAAACACCCAAGGCTATGTTTATAGCAGTATCATCTACAAGTATGGAAGAGAGAAGAAAAGAGAAGAAGAAATTATTTCATATATTCACCTTTCACTCCTTTCCGGTAAGTGTTCTGGACATATTTCAAACCAGATACAATATCTTTGTTTACCTGTAAGAGAAAAACAGCCTATTAAGTAAGGTAATTCAATTTAGGATTCCACTAACCTTACTTTGGGATATTGTAGGGAGAAAACACCATTCTGTCACTACAATAAATAATTTATTCATTTATTATTTCAGTTTATGATGCTCCTGTGATTAATCATCAAACCCTAAATTCAAAATACTGTAAAAAGTAAAGTTAACAGCCCACATCTTCATACACTCAACTATAAGGGCCTATAGTTCAATTTAAGATAGATTACTCACAGCAGCTTGAACAAGTCATGTCAAATCTTCAGCTAGTTTTTTGTTGTACAATAAATGAAACTGCTGATATCTCTGTGTGAGACATTTAGAATTTGAGTTAATGTAATCATCAGTAGGAATGAAATGCTACATCCAGCACAATTACTAGTTATATTTGTTCGATTTTGGTTTCTCTTCTTTAAGAGAAAGAGGAAATAAAGCAGTTTTTAGCAAATTAGCCTATCAGTGTAACCACTTCTGCATTTTGCCCAGATCTGTTAAAAAGCACCATTTTACATTTTAGTGATCAAATAAAGATTTTGGGGAAGGCCATATTATGAACAGGTTTTTAAAGACCAGTAGTTGGATATATTTAGGACTAAATATATTTGGGAAAAAACCTAATCTATTTTGGGACAATACACTTAGTAATAATATTTGTTCTGATACACTGTTCTGAAATATACTAATAGATTTGTAACTCAAACAATTATATATGTTAAGCTAAAACAATAAAAAGCCCATTTAAGAAAAGTAATCAAATTCATGTTTCTTTTTTCTGTTTCTAATTAAGTTGCACGAGAAAAAAAAATAAAACCTTTTTATCAGTTTTGTTGCACAATATATCATAATGTAAGAATAATGTATTATTTCATTTAATGAATGAAGGCGAATATACGTGTCCCAGGATAATGTTGCAGGATCCAATCTGGGTGGGTCACCAGGACCAGAGAGTTTTATCTTCCAAGCTTTCAGACTCGTGCTGGAGTCCATCCTCAGGGAACTTCATTTAAGTTTATTTTTTTTGCAATGATAATTAGTCCAGCCAAAAGAATTAAAAAATACAAGATTCAGTGGGAATACTTTCATTTCTGCAACGGTCTGCTGTTCTGCCTGTAGACAATGTGAACTTCTTATTTTGGTTAATGCTTTCTTATTTAAATTGACAGATGTGACATTTATGAACCAGCAATGTACACATTTGCACTGTAAGAGGCTGCAATAAAGATATGCAGGATGGAATAGAATCCAGCTCTGGAAAATTTCTATAGGAAAGTCACTCACTTTGAAGTGGATCTTGACTCTATATTCAGCTCCTTCTTTTAAAGCAAAGGTCTCTTTCTTCAGGGCTTCAAGGTCCCCTGGAACAGAGAAAAATGCCAATCAATCATGTTAAAAGATGTGGAAGAGAACAGCTTTCTTCCCATGGATTCATTTGATTGAAGTACAGTGGCGTACCGTACAGATGCATAAGCAGTGGTGTGCTTGTACACATTTAACAAAAGGCTCTGCTGGCTCCATTGCTAC